TTATTTATACAAGATAAGTGGGGGCCCGTTCTGAAAATGCGCTGTTAACGCCGCTCTCAAATATAGCACCTTGTGAACATCATCTCTACGTGCGTACGCATTAGGGTAGAGAATAAAAATCAAGATGATTTAAATTGTAACCTAAATCACACCTGTTTTACTATGATGATTTAAGTCCAACCTTTCCCCCAAAATAATCCTCCAAATGCTTTTTGTTTACTGCTTTCCTGTCATTTGATGCTTGCAATGTGCACTTGTTTTGTATTTCAATCAAAGAACCAAGCTAACAACTCTTCTAAACAAATCAAAGCGTCGAGATTTTTTTTTTGTACGTTTTGCTTGGTTTTTGGCTTACGTAATGCCCTACTGCGAATAAATAAAAACGCGAAACAAAGAAACAAAATAAAGAAAAGGAATGTCATATTGCGAGGAAATGTGACCACGAAAGAAAAAGCAAATACAGTTTTTTCACGAACTAAAAAAATAAGCTGCTTTTGTTCTAGTACGCGGGATTGCCTCGATAAAAGTAGCGTATTAAATTTACTTTAAAAAGCTTCAATGTTCATCAATCTTTTCTTACGTATTGTTTCCTGTGATCGGGCACATTTATAAATCAATATGTCACTTTTAAAGATACAGAGTGATAAAGAAGAACTTTGTTTTCTGGCTACGGTGATTTAAATAAAACATATCTGATTTGATAAAAACCGACTTTCTTACACCTCGGTATGGATGGAAGTAACACTCATGTATACAGGGTGTTTAAGCTAACTTGTGCTAAGACAAAAAAAAAAAAGAGGCTTGTACACGCTACACTTGTCGAATCAACTCAGTATTGCCCTAATGAGCGACTAAATTTGTTGTGTTTCCGGTGTGCCAAATTAGTTCATTAACACGCATAATTGAACAAACTTCTAAATATTAATATGCGCGCAAACCCTCCAATCCAGAAGTTGTAGAGCGTGTTCCCATCGCGTGGTTTCCATGAGGCAGTCTTCGTGTTTCCCCCGCACCTTACAGAAAGCGCGCGAGATTTTAAGTAAATCCACGAGACTACCCGACCGCTTTTCTTAAGGCTAAAAAGATACGGTAGTAATTTGCGGATATTTTCAACGAGATCTAACGGCCCGGTAGCAGAAAGCAACCTACGTCTGTAGGGCGGTTTCGGCTCTTCTGTCTGCGTTGGATGTGCTTCCCCCGTGGCATCGGTGCACCACAGCGAAGCGACATTCGCAGAGCGGACATTCGGCGGGAAAGGCGGCATCTCTGGTGTTTCCCTCGTTGCTCCCTTCGGGGGCACAGAAGCCAAGATTAACGCCCTTCTTTCTCTCTTTTTGCGCGGGGCGAAGCTTGGACCAACAGCCACGTATGTACATCCTGAAGCCGTTGAATCGTTACAGAAGCAAGATAGTAGCAAATCGTACCATAGCTCCGCTTTTTTTCTTTTTTACTAAAGGCAAGCTTGTACATTTTTGTTAATATTGTAAGGTATCGGGTTGGCCGACGAGACTCGTCGACCGTTGCCACGCACAGCCGAGCGACCGGGTTGAGGAGAAAGAAGTGGTAGCTCGAGGGTAGTTGGATCTGACGGTTGGAATGAGCTGCCATGATTTACGGGTGTCTTAGAGGAAGTGTTTAAGAGACGTTGAAACCTGACAGCCTCCCAGGTTTTCTGGCTTTGGAGATCTACAGTCATCAGAAGGGTTCATAGAGAAGCTCGAGAGTTACTGCCTAATCCACGGAGTCAAGCCAGAGGATCGCATCAGCCGTGTCGTACCCGCAGTTCTCGACGGAAGTGCCAAGCTGTGGTTTCGCTTCGCGGGGGAGTTTACGAGCGGGGGCAGCTTCGTCACCGCGTTCCATAGTCAGTTTGCGCCGGTGGACAAGAAGAAGCGACTGAAAGAGGAACTGCGGAAGCGAATTCAACACCCCGAGGAAAACCTGAAGCAGTTCATATGTCATCAGCAGTTACTACGACAGGATCGGCGAGCCTGTGACAGATGCGCAGAAGGTGGAGAGGGTACTCCGACAGATGCACCCGCAGTTCCGGGATCTCGTTGAAGGAAGGACCTTCGCCACGCTCAAGGAACTCGCCGACGCTGCCGATGGATTAATGGAGCGCGTGTGGCGACGTCTTTAATACGTGCCCCCTCCCCAACTTTCAAACCAAGTGGCCCGGGACTTGGTGTTCCAAAGTCGAACAACGACGCCAGTGCCTCGCCTAGTTCCGGTGACTCGAACGGCGACGCCAGTGACTCGTCCAGTTCCGGTGACGGATCGGAGTGTAGCAGCCTGGACCACGCCCACCCTCGCTGCTCCAAGCGCGTACCCCTGGTGCCTGCATCCGGCGGCCCTGCAACCTTCGTACTACAGGGACCATCTCGGTGCTGTCGAGGCTCACAGCGTAGCACCGTCCCAGATGGGTTTCGGCAGTCTCGGCAGCCCAGTCCGACAGCAAGCCGTGCCCCAGGAAAACAGCTATGATCGCCAGCTACAGTGTCACCGGGGCGGGGGTGTGGGACACATGTCACGCGAGTGCCCTACGAGAGCGCGCCGGGGCCGGGGCTGGCCTCACTGTTTTCGCTGCAACGAGCCCGGGCATATGCAAGCGAGTTGTCCGGGAAACGGCAGACAGTAGACGCCGCACCGGCAGGCGTCTACATGTCAGTGCAGGTAGCTGCAGCAGCCGGTGGAAAAGAGCCGCTTCTGGAGCTTCGCATAGGGGACAGAATCTTTTGCGCTCTCCTGGACACCGGGTCAAGCGTCAGTCTTGCAGGAAATGCAGCTATTGCGACAGCGGTGGCTGGAGGAGCGAGTGTTCGAGAAGAGCAGCACTGCCTTCGTCTTGGAGCCGGTTGGTCTCAGACAACAAGCTCCGTACGATGCCGAGTGCATTGGGCAGGGGGATCACGTAAGCAGTGATTCCTCTACATGCCAGGCCTTTGCAGGGACATAGTGCTAGGCAGAGACTTTCTTAACGCTACCGGCATCTCCATACACATTTCTTCGAGCGTTTGGACGATCGGGTCTGAACAACAGAAGCGTATTCCGTTTTCCAAGGGTGAAATCCAAAGAGAAGAGTCCGATCAGGCCAATAACGAACAAGTGTATAGCTTAGAGCGATTGTTCGCCGAGTCAAGTGAAGGCCCTTGTGTGCAGAGAGAACATCCTGCGGATGATCAGTTCCTACGAGAAAATGACCGGCGTCAGGCCTACCATAACAAGAAGATGCCTACAGATGATTGACATCTGCTGCACGCTGACAATCCTGACGTTGACTATGCAAAGCATCCGGATGTCTTAACCATGCTGGGAAAGTTTTGCACACTATTTGACAAACGTCCTGGCTGCACGGGACTGATGGAGCACAGCATCAACACTGGAAATTCTGCGCCGATTCGCTGCAGGCTTCGCCCGGTCAAGGCTCACAAAAGGCAGATTATGGATTCCTGTATCGAAGATCTGCTGCAGCAGGACTTGATACAACCCAGCTCGAGCCAGTGGTCCTGTGCCCCAGTCCTGGTTGCGAAGAAGTCGGGAGGATACCGACTAGCTGTTGATTACCGGCCGCTCAATGCTAAAACCCAAGTTCCGGTATACCCAATGCCACGGACGGACTGGGTACTGGCAGAGTTAGGCAGAGCTCAGTGGTTCACAAGCTTCGACCTGTCCCAAGGTTTCCTCCAGATTCCTGTCCGCCGCGAGGATATCCCCAAGACTGCATTCATATGCCACAAGGGTACACGCCAGCTTTTCTGTGCTATGGGCGCCAGCTCCGCAAACCATGGGAACAAAACCCCGGTCAACTTCCTACACCAGACAGTCGAGCTCCAGGCTTCGTGGCAGAGGTGACATCTAGGCTGCAAGACGCACACGAGTTTGCGCTAGAGAACCAGAGAAGAGCCCAAGAGCAGCAGCGCCGCTACTACGACAGAATCGACGACAGTGTAACTTTAGGATCGGTGATCTAGTTCTCCGTGATCTGCACATTCTAAGCGATGCCAGAAAGGGCGTGGCGGCAAAATTGGCACCGAGACGCTCGGGGCCATTCGTGGTAGTGGGGAAAGTGGGGCTGAACGACTATCGCTTGAAGGACCGCAATACTGGTCGACCAGTAGGACTGGCACGTGCTGACCAGCTGCTGAAGTTTTGTGAAGACCGGCTGAACATTTAATCTAAGGGGGGTGGATTGTAAGGTATCGGGTTGGCCGACGAGACTCGTCGACCGTTGCCACGCACAGCCGAGCCACCGGGTTGAGGAGAAAGAAGTGGTAGCTCGAGGGTAGTTGGATCTGGCGGTTGGAATGAGCTGCCATGATTTACGCGTGTCTTAGAGGAAGTGTTTTAGAGACGTTGAAACCTGACTATAGAGGGGGGGGGGGGGGGGGGGTTTACTTACATTCGACGTATTCGACAACACGGATGCGTTCGCCGCACGACGTCAGACACCTCAACATCGGGGCTCAATTTTGTGAGACGTATACACTGGGCTATAAAAGGCTGCGGTGGGATGCAGGCGGGCTTTTCAGCTACGGCAGGCCGTTCGTGCCAGCAGCCCGACCCGGAAAGCTCGAGAGTCCATCTGGTTGACAGCCGGTACGCTTGGTTCGTGGCCCTCACGTGCGGCTGGGTCCAGGCCTGGTCCACCATAGTGCTTCGCAGCTCGGGCGTACTCCTGGTCAGCCTCGTGGCAAACTTCAGGATCAGCCGCCGGTCGGCCTCCTGGCCCTTCGAGATCGCCATCACTGTCAGCTGCTTTCAAGGTTCGCAATTCAGGCTCTGGATTTGTGACGTGTGCTATTTAGTAGGGGCATACCTTCTTAGTTTTTGTTGGATCCCATCTAGGCGAGGGACGCAATCAGCGCAAAAAATGCCCCTCCTACCGGGACAACCTTAGCAAAACGTTTGCCGTCCCAGTGCACGCGGGGCCCCTGACTACGGATGCCAACGTTGTTCCCCGATCAAGGATCTCAATGTGTGAGAACGGTATTCTCAGCGTAATGTATTCTTACGGGACTCTCTGCGCAGGACTCGTGGCCGGAATCATGTTGCAGTATTTCGACGGTCGGACTATGATCATGGCTGCTACGCTGAGTGCCTCTCTGAGTGCCATCGCTTGCTTCGTCTGGGACAATCTCGTCAGTTACCACGTCTTCGTCGGTCTCATATTCGGTGAGGTACCCAGCAGTAATCACTTGGGTTGTCATGTCAGAGTCTTATTGTTTGTACATTGGAACCGACTGTAGGGGAGGGGTCGAAAGTGGTCGGGAAATGGGAAAGTGAGGAGGAAATGTGGGAAATCATCCCCTGCCATCTCCCCCCCCCCCCCCCCCTTTTTGACACACACACCCGGATATTTTAGACCTTTCTAGTACAAATTTGCGGAAGGGTGGTTCGTCATCCCCTCTGTCCCTTTTCTTTGGGTTTTGTTTTGTTTTTTTTTGGTACGATGCTATTGGATTGTGACGAAACCCTATTGGCAAATGACAATTATGAGAAGATTATTAAGCATCAAATACCTGAAGATGCTAAGTCCATTAAAAAAACGACGTGCTGCCAGAAAGAAGGAAACTCATATTGAATGGGTTAAAACAGCGCAAAAAAGACGAAGGACCAGTAAAAGAAAACACACAGACACAGCGCTGACTTACAACTGAAATATTTACTGCTGCGCCATTCAGCAAGTAAACTTGAAGGGAGACAAACATAAAAGAAATCGGCCCGAAAACACGTCATCCTCCACTCAAGCCGACACGTGGCTACACGTATTTCCCCGCCTTTCTGATAAAATTCATTTCATCACTAACTAGAGCAAGTGATGGAACACTAATACACTTGCCTGCGTCATGGTTGGCAATAAAAAAAGCTTCGTCAGTCTCCGAGCATACTTATTTTTATGTCGGGCTAGCCACGTGTCGGCTTGAGTGGAGGATGACGTGTTTTCGGGCCGATTGCTTTTATGTTTGTCTCCCTTCAAGTTTACTTGCTGAATGGCGCAGCAGTAAATATTTCAGTTGTAAGTCAGCGCTGTGTCTTTGTGTTTCCTTTTACTGGTCCTTCGTCTTTTTTGCGCTGTGTTAACCCATTCAATATGACCATCAACCAACTCGCCCAACTTTCCACTTTGTTGAAGGAAACTCTCCGAAATTCATCCTCTCCATTCGAGAAAGAGGGAGACACTCTTTCTTTTCGCGCAGTGCAGCTCAGAGTTGCTCAGAGGCAGGCTCCTCTGGAGAGAGGAGGAGGAGAGAAGAGAGGGAATGGAGAGATGGAAACTGGGACCGATTTTCTTCCTGGCAGAAGACGACTCTGTAGGTTTTAAAAGAAACTTAGGTAGCCACTCCTAGGTGTACAGGAGGATTCTTCTTCTGAAGCACTTGTTACGATATTCAACCAGCTTTGTTACTTCACCATAATAGCGCGGTAGCCGATGATGCTGGTCGTTCCATTGAACGATGTTCGAGAGAATGCTGCGACATGCTCGTCTGCTCCGCGCATTGCGGAACTCGGGGTACTAAAACCGTCGAGGCGTAGATCATCGAGGGGCTCGCACACTTTCTTGCACTCTCGGCACACTTCGCTGCACTAGAGATAGGTATGCTTATGAAAAAATTCGCATAAAACCGCGGCATTAAAACGAGTTCGATAAAAGGGGCTTCATCTCCCCTTCCTTTTACACGCAAGGTATTGACAAACAGTGGTTTCTAGAAGGTTGTATTGTTTGTACGACTTTTGGTGAAACCATGGAACCTGTGGGACGCGTTTTCTCTTCGAACGGCGTCATCTCCCACTCTGGCGCCTGTTGGTTCCTTAGACACGGGCGAAAGAGCTGACCGACTGAGCATTTTGTGCATACTCGAATATTCCCTGGATTACCTACGAGGTGTACTTTTTTTTTTCCTAAGAATATTGTTTTTTCTTGTACAACGCAACAACCAACGAGCGTCGGCGCTCCCATGACGAGACAAAGTGGCAGAACGTCGGTTCTAAATAACGGCGTGGCACTGTGATGCCTGGAACACGTTCGGGATGTTGCATTTACCGTATTCAAAAAAAAAAATCATGAGCCATTCCACTCTGTGGAGGTGCACGACCAGCGAAGCTGTTTAGCACACAACACAGACCCGCCCCGGGGAGCCGGAGGAAACTAGACACGCGCGACGGGACCGCCACCCCGGGAGAGCGGAGGAAAAGGAAACTAGGCACGCAAGCGCATGGAACGACGACAAAGAGATGGCAGTGCGAGCGTAGACATGGCCGACGCGGGTCGCACTGCAGCAAATCTTTGAGAAACCTTTATTATCTACCTGAGAGTCTACTGATCTTGAAGATGGTGCCAATTGATAACTAATCTACTGAACAGACCTACTGCTAAATTACCCAAGAGGAGAATGCAGAAAATGATGTTCCACGCGCCGCACGTGCCGGCGTCTGCAGCAGTAAAGGCCCTGTCACACTGCGGAAACAGTCGGAGAACTTTGTCCTTCAACACGAGGAAAACATGTTTTCGGGGACCCTGTCACATTGCGGAAACAGCAACAGTCCGGAAACATGTCGCTGTCGTCCGAAAACCATGTTTCCCAACTTGTTCTCCGACACTCGGGGAACATCCTGTCAAACCGAGAAAGCGTGTTGGAAGAACACAAATTGCCTCCTCTCCTGCGCGCTGCCTCCCTCTCTCTCTCGCCCTCGTCTGCCCGGCCGGCTCGGCTAAGCTACAAGCGCGAGCTCCGGGCTTTCAGCATCCCTGCCAAGCACACGCGCTCGTGCAGTGCAAGCACTGTTCTGGGCCAGATGCTCGCGCTTGTAGCATCGGCTGCGTCTGGACCGAGGCTGAAACGAAGTATAGGCGGCTAGGCTCAGATCCGCTGGCTCCGCTCGCCCCTTGAATCGTTGCCATTTTGGATCGCCGTCTCATGGACGTCGCTCTATCGTAGTCGATTCATCAGCCGCGCGAACCATCTCGTGTTCTCTGGATTTGGCGGTTGCGTTCTGCTACAGGGCTAGACCCTTGCAGGATGGCATACGCGCCGGCCACAGCAGCAGCTTCTGCTTTGGTGCTTCTTTGTGCCATCGATTCAGATGATTCTGACGATCAGCTGCCGCCGCGCAAGAAGCCGCGTTCAAAATGAACCAGCGAGTGGCTCGCAAGAGTGCATCAACAAGGTGCATCAACAAGTATTCTCGTGCGACTATCTGTACAGAAAAATATAGATGTTGCCGTGTTGCTGGAAAAAAATTCGCTCAGCCACCGAAATGGGCAACACGTGTCGTCCGACACAAGTTGTCGAGGTTTCCGTTGCCAAAAGCTGTCACACCGAGACAACACTGTCGCTGTCGTCCATGTTGTGTTGCTGTTTCCTCAATGTGACAGGGTTGTCGGGCAACAGAGCCGACAGCCGACATGTTTCCCGACTGTTGAGAAACATGTTTTGTTCATGTTTCCGCCGTGTTTCCTCAATGTGACAGGGCCTTAACTGTTCTAAAGCAAAAGCCTAAAACATCTTGCATTCTTTCTTGCCGGAATTCCTACAAGCCAACTACCAGAATCGGGCGACATCCGACAGCACCAGAGCCGTGTCTTGGGAGAGTTTGGCCATACATTGGTTTGAATAGGCGAGCATCTCGGGGCCAACCACAGGCCGCGGAACAGCCCTTAGCGGTGATCATGTGCTCTAAAAATTCAACTCGACTAATTGAAGCCGTTTTAACGTCACTCGGGTAAGAAGATATAACTCTTGGTGACTGAAAACTTGGCTCATGAGAGGGTTTCGTCACGTCCCTATTCAACCGTAGAATAAACGATCGTGCGTTCCAAACCAGGGCCGACTTGCTAGGAACAGCGTCTCAGCTGAGACTGGGGAAAAGAAAGCACTACCAAAGCCAACGCACGAGTTGAGCGGGACTCAAGCCACGTCTCGTGCGCCCCACCCTTCGTGCTGTTTTCTTTTAGCCAGTCTCAGCTGAGGCACTGTTCTAGCAAAAGTCAAATTTGAGGGTTTTACGTGCCAAACCAACGGCGGGCATCTGGCACGCCCCAGCGGAGGACTGAGGATTAATTTCGACCACCTGGGGATCTTTTGATGTGCAACCGAAAGCTCGGTTACTCGGCGTCTTCTCCGCAATAAGCCTCCGTCATATTGCGGGCACCTCGGCCGGGATTCGAACCCGCCACATGGGAATCCGTAGGCCGACGCTCTCGCCTCGGAGCCACCGAGGTGACGGCACTGTTCTAGCAAACCGGCCCAGAGAAAACTGTCACCGAGACGCCGAGACGGAACGCTTCTATTTCAGAGACGGAACCCTTCTTTAAATGTCGTCTTCAATATCGTGACGTCGCGGTCTGCTGATTGGTCGACGCTGTGTCGCACCTTTAGTTTACGCTCTAACCGCTGGGGGAGCATTCAGCGCTAGCGGCGGCCTTTGCTCCGCCTATTGGCCAAACTCTCCCAATATACACGGCTCTGGACAGCTCGACACTCCGGTTTCTTGTGGCGTCATTTGTTGCCACTTGAAGACCATTTTTGATGTAAACGGACGGAGCTATCGGACGCTAATCACGCCAGTCAGAGACCCTTTATAGGCAGCGTTGTGGCACTCCAGGCAGTGCGCGGCCTTCATGACGTCTAAGGGGACCAACGCATTCCAGGAGCGGCCGCCGGCACGGCCATCTGCACTAACGTGGTGGTGCTGAACGGCTACTTCGTGCGGCGGAAGGCGTCGGCGACGGGCCTCAACTACGCGGGTGCTTCGCTGGGCAGCATGTTCTTTCCGCCTCTGCTCGCCAACCTCAACGACTGGTACGGCTGCCCTTCGAGAGCGCAACTTGGAGCGATTCCCCCCTCAAAGCAGTGCGAAGTTTGCAGGAGTGGGGTCCCGAAGTCGAACTTCCGGAACAGTGTAGGGTGACCCAAGTCACCAGGTTCGATCTAAAATGAACCGTAAAAATCGACGCCTGCACGTAGCAATCTAAACTTTTCGTCAAAGGTGTATTTCAGAGGTAGGTTTTTTCTTGAAAAATTACAAAGCGTAGCTCCGTTTCTGTAAAAAATAGGGCCAAATAACTTGCAAGGGTCAACGGCGGACGGCGACGCAGACGATTAAGTCGAGTAGCGGGGTGTGTTTGGCGTTCGTGTTGATAGATGGCGTCCGCACCAGGGTCCGAATAGAGGAGTGGTCACGTGGGCAGAACTGGATCCGACCTTCGTGCGGGAAAGCGGCCTTCCAGAGCGCCGCGTTTCGGGGGCAACATATTTTCCGCTTTGCGTTCGCAAAATATAGATCCTAGTCCAAAATCGAACGAACCGAAAGCTTCCTAAGTCATTAAACATTATGTGTATCAACTGGGTACAGTACAATCCCGTTCTTTATAACGTGGGCGATGTTTTGGTACATCCGTTTTCAAGGTATGTGAAGCAGACGACACGGTCGACGATCGCGTTGCTCGCGTCTGCGGCTCTCGCGGAGTGATACGCGATACCGATACGCGACCGGCACATCCGGCTATCTTGGCTAGTCGGCGAGCTCCCGTTTAAAAGCAGGGGGTGCGCTTTTTGCAATCGAGAGGGAAACAGGAAGCGAAGGGTCAACGATCACGGCGCATACGCGGCTCGTCGCCGCACTATTTTCCTTCCGCAGCGCGCCGCAGCCTGCCACAGCACGCCGCCTCGCGTCTGCGCCTTCGTGCCCCTGCGAAAACCGACCGTGGCTTCCCGCAGTGCTTGGCTCCATAATGGCACCATTGCGGTACTCTGCTCCGCAAGCGGAGCATATACAGTTACTCTAGGTCCGAAGGTGTGGCCGACCAGCGAAAGAAAGCAGACGACACGCAGACGAAATCCGTTGGCAGCAAAATCGCCGTCGTTATGCAGACGCGTTTTTTTTTTTTTTTTTTTTTACTTTAGGTTTTGTTTTTATTGTTTGCATTTATTTTTTAACCAAAGGTACATTTAAAAAAAATTACAATCATTTTAATAAACTATGGGTGGTCGCGAACCGTCGCGATAAGGAGGTAGCGCCATCCATCAATACCAACGCCAAACACACCCCGCTACTCGACTCGGTTGTCTCCGTCGCCGCCCGCCGTAGACTCTGGCAAGTTTCTTGGCCCTATTATTTTTACAGAAAGCAAGCTACGCTTTGTAATTTTGCAAGAAAAAACCGACCTGTGAAATACACCTTTGACAAAAAAGTTTACATTGCTACGTGAGGGCGTCGATTTTTGCGGTCCATTTTAGATCGAGCCTGGTGACTTGGGTCACCCTATAGTTGTCGGGGGGGAGCTAACTTCAATTCAATTCAATTCATTTTGTTCATTTATTCTCGTGATACGTACGTGTGACGGAGACAGAGACAAAATCTGCAGAAGTGCAGCTTGACAAATCCCCTGCCCCCTACTGGCAGATCGGCCGACATGAAAAAATAATGCTGAATGAAAAAACGGAGGAAACACTCGGTGCTATATAAGTGAAAAAATATCAAACTTTTGAGGTGATTATTTTGCGTATTGTTTTTCTATTAAGTGTAGACAAACATTTTGGCCTTTTAAAAGGTTTAGTATTGTTGGTAGTGTATGCTGGTACCATTTGAAGCCCGTAGTTGGTTCTAGGACGAGGTACACTCAAGGATCTAGCACTATGTACTCCATATACAGTATTTTTGACACGTAGTTTAGAAATCCGTGGTAATGGGTGGTTAAAAATTTAAAGGGATGCCGCGTATACTGTCGCGTGCTTATGTATGAAATATTCTTGTATTTTTATTACTTTATGTTTATAAAAAAAAAAGTGGTTCAGTGTGTGCGTAATACGACGTATTCGCTGCGACTCGAATTTCTCTCTTCTGCAATTAATACAGTGTATGAAGGTTCCTACTAGTCGTGGTTCCCCACGCTAGGAGACAATAGGATATACGAGAATTGAATAAAGCATTATAAATTAAGTTTTACACTAAACGTTTATATATGGAGACGTTTATGCATAATATCTACAATATTCGAGAGTTTAAGTGTAAGGTTTTTAATGTGGGAGTCCCGTAACACATGTTCGTGAATAATTACACCCAATGTTTTAACAGTACTTACAAATTCAACTTCCAAGGAGTTCTTTGTAGTAGAGTTGCACACTGGGCCTTTTGATTTAGATATAATGGCTTTTGTTTTAATTTTATTTATTTTTAATGAATTGGAAACACATCACGAGCTAAGCCTCTTTAGGCAAATGTTTGCGTCAGCACCTAGCCTATCAATATTGTTCACCGACTGCTATAGGCTTCGACGGTGTGAATTTCATCGTTCAGAAGTGGTGTCCTGGGAGGACGAATTATCTCCCGTGGGAAATGGCGGACAAAGGGGGGGGGGGGGGGGGGCGGAATGGATTAAAGAGAAAACTTAGACATATTACATATTTTCGAAAATTTTCAACGGTCGTAAATATGTTTAAACTTATGACCAACGTGTCCTCGCCGTAGCAGGCGCACTGCAGTAGGTCCCTTACCAAGATTTTTTTTTTTAATTATTTCCCTTTGACAGTTACATTTCTCCGATCGGATGTCGATACTGTAGGTAATCATAGACCTCTGTGTGCGTTGTCCACTTCTTGTTCCCAAGTCCTGGGTGTTCAAGATGTTATAAGTAACATTCCTTGTAATGGGTTATTTAAAAAGGTAAACAAGTGGGCAAGTGATAAGGTATGATATAGGGTCCAACCAAATACTCTCCAGGTTTTAAATAGCTAGCTATTCAAACTTTTATTTTACGATCCGACTGAGGAATACACATTCCGTGTCCACCATGTTCACCAGCCTTTCCTGATTGATTTATCCGAACTTCTAAAGTAAGCTCTAAAAAATCAAAGATTCCGTCCGGTGTAGTTACGCAGGAACGGAGCTGCGACTCGAAATTTGACGAGGTAGCACGCACCACTTAATTATACCTCGGGTGAAAATATTCGTTCGCCATTTTCGGGCGCCCATGTGGCCGGCTCCTTTTACAACCGCCGTCGCTCTTTTGGACACCCTGTACAATCAACGGGAGTCACGTGAGAAGCACGAGTCATATCAGCTCATGCGTATACAAACAATATCCGCCGTATGGCTCGAAAGCGCCCAATGGGGGCCATGCTGCCTACAGGTACGGCCTGCGGGGCACCATGCTCATCCTCGGGGCCATGGTACTCAACGCCATGGTGGGCGCCCTCGTGCTCCGCTCTCTGCCCCCGTGCCGGGCCAGCGACGGGACTGAGCTGACCACCAGCCTGGACTCGCTCGGGTACCTGTTCACCGACCCGATGGTGCCGAACGCGCCGCTCCAGTCCACGGTCTGCAGGAGGCTGGAGAACTCCGTGAGCTCCTTTCTTTGCCGGTCTCTCTCCATACCGTCGTTGTTTGGTGCCGTGAGCTAGAACGTTGAAAGTTGAAAGTAAAGTGGTCCCCGATTCGAATAGGCTTCAGTCAAAGCAGAGATATAGCGTGCTCTCTTTTTGGGCGAGTCAGGATCCCAACCGCGGGGAACTGCACCGACGCTGCATGCGAACATCGTGATGACGACCAAGTTGGTCTGCTCGGCTTCCGACTGTGCAGGGCAAAGAGGGGCCGGCGCCCTTCCTGTGGCAGCCGCTCTTCTACGTTCTTCTGTTCACGGGCGCGGTGTACGGCTTCGTCTTCAGCAGCTACTACCTGACCGTTGTGGACCACATCAGCTCCGTGTGTCACGTCACAAACGAATGGGCCTCCCTGTCCGTGGCGGCCATGTCGGTGGGCGACCTGGCGAGCCGCCTGGTGTCCGGTTACATCACCGACCGCGAGTGCATCACCCGCGAGCAGCTGCTGGTCATCAACTTCGGCAGCCTGGGCGTCTGCTACGTGCTCCTCACCTTCCTCACCGGCGTGTCGGACGCCGTTGTTCTGGCTCTCGTGTTTGGGCTCAACGCCGGCGGGCCGATCATCTCGCTCCCCGTCCTCCTGGCGGAGCACTGCGGCAACCGTCACCTGCCCATCACGTTCGGCATCCACCGCTTCATCATGGGCGTGAGCACGCTTGGCCGACCTTTTCTGATCGGTGGGTGGACGCGACTGCCCTCTCCCGATTAGTTTGGTCACTTACGCTGTTTGCCCGCCAGGCGTCAATCTAGGCACCAGATGCATTTCGGTGTCGGTGCCATCTTGGCACAATCGGTGAAGCATTTTAATGCGTTTGCATTAATTAGTACCCACATTACAAGAAAAAGCTGACGGCGTCCGTCTGTGGACAAAACAGTGGAAAGGGAGGTGCGCTGCACAAAGAGGAGGAGACTAGTGAAGGACAAAACCAAGAGAGGCGATGTCAAAAGGCGGAATTCAGTGCGCGCGCGAATGCTGTTTCTTTTCTTTCTTTCTTTCTTTCTTTTTTTTCAGGTTTGATTTTTTGTTTCCTTAAAACTAAACCCATAAAGGCCCGTTCACACTGTGCCATTTCTTACGTTAAGCTACGTTACGAACTCTTACGACATATTACGACCGCCCGTGGCCATGGCAACCAGCGACGCAACGCGAGTCGTAACGTAATGCAAGGAGTTGGGCTTGGCTCAACTTTTCTTCAGAATTCTTACGACCGCTTACGTTCAACCAGTCGGGACTCGCGGAAGCGAAGCTCCTGGGCATGCGCGCTACGCTCGGGAGCCCGGCGGCCCGGCGCTGCTCTCCAATATAAGGTAAGGCAAATATGGCGGCGCCCTGTATCGCTCGCTTCAGAGGAAAGTTGTCGTAGTGGTGCGCTATTACGCACGTTCAGCGGCAACGAACGGTGCAGCAGGCTTTCGCTTTGCCTTACCTCGATTAAATCACAAAGCATGAGCGGTAATCTCACCTAATTTTTTAGATCGTCTTCTGAATATGGCTGTTCCTAAGCCTAAAGGGACGCAGTAATCGTTGATATGGCTACGTCTCGCAAATTTTAGTAAATTACGACGGGTTGGAGCTGAGCTAGTCGGTTCATATCTTTGAATGGTACCAGTTGAACAAATATAAAAATACAGGTTCAACCCCTGGGGTATCAACTGTATTGAAGCCTTCTTCCTCCACTACTCTCCGTATTTACAACCTAGTTAGAAGCCTTCTTCTGGCTCGATCGAGCCGAAACAATCCTAGTGCATTGTGTTGACTCGATCGGCAGGACGCAGAAGCAGCCGGAACTAAAGGTAGGAAAGCTGAACGAAGTTTTGCTAAATAATTTGAACATCAAGAGCACACTGCATGGGTGTGTAGTTACACGCGCATGTTACAATCACACATGTACAAGCCGCAGCTAAAAACCGTGGGTATGCCCCCTTTCAGTCATGTTGCGAGGCTTTTAGCCCTTCTTCGAAAGCGCAATCGCATTTCTTGCAATCGAAGCGGAGCCAGCAGTGTACCAGCGGGCACGACGGACGGCAGCCGTGTTGGATGATACGCCTATTGGCTGACCATAATCATTACCAGAGGATTTATATTGGCTCTTTCTTACGGACGGCAGGGTAGTGTGAACGCGCAGATCGTAAGCGGCCGTAACGTAAGTTTCGTAAGAGTTCGTAACGTAACTTAACGTAAGAAAGGGCACACTGTGAATGGGCCCTTAATAGTAGTAAAATTAAATACACATCCTAAAGACAGCTTTTTGAAAAGGTTCCATTGGTTTATTTCACTGAAGTTTTGTAGGCCCGAGTAACGCTCAGAAAAATACTGTTGGGGGCACTGCCATCTTGCTGATGGTGTGTCGTTGGATGGATGAATGTATGGATGCTAACGGCTTTACCGTTTATAACGGGCGGCAGCTTGTGCCATCTAGCTTAGAAATTAAGAACAAAACGTATGATTCCTTCCTTCGCCTTTCTATGCAAATTTGCTCCCCCTTTGCAGTTTGGTAACTATCAGCAGGCGGTGTGGGATATCACCAGGATAACCTTTGGGCGCAGTGTACGGCTTTGTCTTCGTCTTGGCAACGGCCACGTTAGCAATGGCGTGCCACCATGGGCACGCCCACTGATATCTATGACAATTGCTGGATCGCGCTTCCCCGCTTGTTCGCTGCAGCGCAAGTGAAGCCACCGGACTTCACTCGCTTGGGGTACGATTTGCCGTTTTTGCTAGCCTTTGCTGCAGTTTTCCAGCGTGCTGTGGACATGTTTTCTACTCGTTCGTCGTCATTCGCCGAAGAAGTTTTTTGAAGACTCTGTGTATTGTTGAGACTTGCCGTTGTGAACACGTGGAAAATTTTACGAAAGTGCAGTGTCGCAGGAAAAAGGCACAACGCGTCGAAAGGAAGGGCTGGCGGCGTGTTCAAAGCTTCCTTGGCACGCCGAAGTGCCGTGTCTATGTGCCTTCGCACGCTTGGATACCGACCAAGAACCGACGCCGTGTGTATGTGTCTAGCGAGTGCAATGTGCGTGAAGCTGTTCGTGCCTCTGGATCAGCGTCTTTTCCCCTCGCGGTTTAGGAACGAGCTTAATCCAGCGTCCACTAGCGACGGAAGATGGGGGGAAGGTACGTCTTATTTTCGTCCTTAGACGATTTACACAATACCGTGCACAACAGCTCCTCATCACTGATCAGTGCTGGCTTATTATCAACCTACTTAATTGCACTTGACGTTTGAGCGCGGCTCGCCTAATTGTAATTGGTCAGCAGATTGCACACGACCATATCGGCCGCGCTTCAAAGATTTTCATTCTCGCCGTCTTGTACTTTTGCTTTCGAAAACCCCCCTGGCTCCACAACGTTGCCCTATTCGTGCTCCCACGGAATCTATTAGAGTAGATTTGGGACATAGCCAACACGTACAGATCTCTCCCTTTTATTGATAGCAACTCACCGGAACAGCTGGACGATCCAGAACTCCGTGGCCGATATATATAAATGATCTAAAGGCTTCTACGCGCGACACACGTTCAGAACTTTGGCGCGGCGTCAATTCTTGACCGGTATCCAAGCGTACGAAGGCACAAAGATGCATCACTCGGCGTGCCAAGGAAGCTTTGATCACGCCGCGACACCGGCGACACTTGTTTTCGACGAGCTGTACCTTTTGATACGGCTTCACGCACATTGCACTCGCAAAACACATCCACACGGCGTCGATTCTTGGTCGGTATCCAAGCGTGCGAAGGCACAGAGACACGGCACTTCGGCGTGCCAAGGAAGCTTTGAACACGCCGCCAGCCCTTCCTTTCGACGCGTTGTGCCTTTTTCCTGTGACACTGCACTTTCGTAAAAATTTCCACGTGTTCACGACGGCAAGTCTCAACAATACACAGAGTCTTCAAAAAACTTCTTCGGCGAATGACGACGAACGAGTAGAAAACGTGTCCACAGCACGCTGGAAAACCGCAGCAAAGGCTAGCAAAAACGGCAAATCGTATCCCAAGCGAGTGAAGTCCGGTGGCTTCACTTGCGGGAGCGGCAAGCGCGATCCAGCAATTGTCATTGAGATCAGTGCGCACGCCCACTGATCTCTATGACAATTGCTGGATCGCGCTTCCCCGCACCGAAAATGAGGCCACCGTCGGCCATCTTACGAGATATGCTCTAGCGCTGTCAAGCCTAGACAGTTACCATGCATGGTTACCGTGTGTAGGTCACGTGAAAACAGAGGCAAAGGTCACGTGACCGCCGCCTTGACAAGGCTTCAGCGGCACTGGTAAGATGGCCGACCGATGGCCTCAATCGCGCAATGGGAAGCGCGATCCAGCAATTGTCATAGAGATCAGTGGGCACGCCATTGCCAAAGCGTGCACATGGTGGCCAGACACGCTTTTGAAGCAGAGCTGCTCGCCAACGCGTCCGAAGACTGACAGAGGTCCTGCGTCCAGGCTACTTCAAGGACGCACACGGGTCATACGACGGCCTGTACTACCTGATCAGCGTCTTCAGCGGAGCCACTGCACTCCTCTGGATGGCCGTCATAAGTGCCGGAGGCTGCAGGAAGAGGCTGGAGCACCTCGTCGCCCACTGGCGGTTCACCGGGTCCCTCGAGCTTCCACTCACTGTGTGATGACGCCGAGACCCGTCATAGGCGTGCGCAGCAACGAGATTAGCTTAGTTGTGAAACTCCCGCGCCCCGCTTGAATCCGCCTCCCGTTGTTCGAAGCGCCCTCTAGATTTTCGTTTCGAAACGGTTCATTGAGTACAATGAAACGCCATAGACGCTGTCCTTCCGTGGAATCTGTGCACAATGGCGGGCGCAAGCACGAGCTTCTTGCGTTCGATTGCAGCTCGGCTGCACGAGGGCTCGTGCAGCGGGAGAGCAAGTTCAAGATACCCGCTCTCGCTCTTTGCACGTTCCGCTGTGTCGGTTGTTGCGCCATTGTGCGGTGGGCTAGACCTTCTATCGATCGACACGTGACTTTCGAAAGGGGTCTTACCATAACAACCGCGCCCCTTAATGGTGCGCGTCGAACGACGGAATAGGGGGGTACTGCTCGTGGAAACCAAACTCCTCCCACCTCTTTCCACTTTAAGCAGAGCGAACGCTGGAGAGGAGGCGACTCCAGTGTTCCGTCTGCTAAAGTGGAAAGGGGGCCGGGGGAGTTTTGGGCAGCTTGCTCGATGACGTCAGTCGCGGTGGCGCGCCATCATCTTGTAAATCGCGAACGTTTCGGTTTGAACTATATAATTTTCCTAACCGCGTGCCTTGTTTCGTTGTATCACTGTAATGTTGATTTTGCCATGTTGATTGTGCCATGCCGTACCACCACTGTAATGTTGATTTTGAGAAATGTTCCGAATTTAGATGTGAGGCACAGGTTGCTTTCATTGAATGACGACGGAGGCAAAGAAGGTTGCACAACTGCCTGGTTAGTTCTATTTATCATCTACAGAAATGAAAAAGAAAAAGTGAAATACGTCCGTTTAAACTGTCTCCAGTAAGGATTGCAAGATTTTGGTTTGTTTTAGGATCGAACGAATAAACAAAGTTCATACCTCGGGGGGGCTTGTAAAATGTTTGAGTGCCCCGTGGACTTTCCGAGTTGTCTTCTTTCCGAGTTGTTCATTTGACTGCTTGCAATCTGAACAATTTTAGTCGTAGCTAGTGCAACATCATTTATTGCTAGCATGTTAGGCTCACATCTCCGACGCAGTGCACTGAGCGACTCTCTGCACCGTAATGAAAACAGATGACGAATCACTGCGGGATTATGAAGTCTTCCTCTTGGTTCTACAAAAATACACGCCTCTGTTTTTTGCCCGGCTTTGTAAGTATAGAGGAGGCTATGGCCCGACAAAACAACGAGCCCGTGCTTATGCAGATGTTGCAACAAAGAGTGTCTTCGCTTTATGAGGCTCCGACAACCTTGTGCCGACAATCTTTGACATTCTTAGCATTCCGACATTGGGTTGACACAACGTGAAAACAGTATATTTCCACATCTCAAACGCCCTGTATCACT